AGTTGTTTCCCAGGAATTTTGTCACGTGACATGCAGTGTTCCTAAGTAGCTCATTTCGTCGGTTGAAAGCGAGTTCCATTGTGTTTTCATAATTTTCTCTCCCCCCACCTACGGAATTATTAGACCGAAAATGCTGTTCTTCAGTCACAAGCGTTTGACCCTAATTATTCCCATTCTATTTATGCATATGGCCTAGTACAATTTATTTGAGGAGAAGACTTTCACACAACTAGCAAGCGTCTAGTGAGTGCACAGTTCTACTTGACTCCACAGAGTGTGAATTTGTCACCCGCAGTTCATTAGAGGCCACCAACAGGGCCTGAAAGATCGCCTCCACATCGTGCGGGAACGTTCGCTCACAATTTGTAAATGAGCGACCGCAATACCATTTGCTCTTCAACAATCTCGTGAGTTGGGGAAGTCAGCCATCAACCTAGGTTGTTTCACAATAGGAAATACGGCAACTGGAATTTGGTTTGATATGATGTAAACCTCGTTACGCCTTCAAAGTGTAAAAGTGTAAGAGTTATTGAGATGTAAGTTTACCCCGAATCTGTACCCCATTGGAAATGAGGTACATTTTGCCACCTGGACGGTTACATGTCTTCTGTCAGGGAAAATTCAGGTGAGGTGTTAGCACGCAAACAGAAGGTACATTTGCCAATTCTATGCATCCGCTGCATCACTGCGGTACCTGGTTTTACGTGAACGGTCGAGAATTTGCTGTACCAGTCAGGTCAGTACTGCTGTGCGCCGTTGTGATGACCAGCATGTAGGAACAGAATGAACGTAAACGGTGAGTATTCGAGTGCACGGTGTTGCATGAGTGCGGTGAAACAATCGGGCAAGCAGTTGTACGCAGACTCCAATACCCGAGGGGTGTTACGCAGTCACCGGATAATTTGCCTTGGCATGTGTGCGTGTTATTTCTCGGAATTATTAGTTGCCGGAAGAAGATAAAGAGTGGCCAAACTATGTCCTAGTGTAAAACCCTTGCTTGGTAGACCTGTTCACATAAGGCGCGTTATGCCTTTGGTATAGGGTCTTCAAAATCCTTCTAATCAAATGTTGGACACTAGGTGGTATAGTTTAGTGTCGCTAACGGCAAAGCCCATATACGTATTCACTCTATACGAGTATTCGGTTGTTGAATAAGTTCCCTCCCACCCACTGTTTTCTTTACTTCATATTCATCTAGAGACACTATTTCTCGTCTCCAATGACTATTATTTATAAGAAACGTTGCCTGTGGCCATGCGTTCCTTGGTATCGTGCTAGATTTTGAGCTGCAATGAAAAGCCGCTTGTCCTTCTGCTTTTGGATGAGTTCGTGCGGGACCCAGGCAAACCAATCTCTCAGCCAAAGCGTCCTCTCCATACCGGGCACAAATATCTCTGGTAGTTTCACTCGCTTTTGACCTCGATTGAAGGTGAAAAGGTGTCGAAAGTGCGATTTTTGCGATTTGACAATTAATTTGACGGTGCTAAATAATAATATAGGCAAAACGATTACTTTTATCTTGTAGAGCATAGCACGAGCTTTCTAATGGTGTATAACACTTTACCAAACATCAAAAAGTCTTTATAGAACAAGTAGTTTCATGTAACGGCAGGAACTTATGCAACAACCCAGTATTTGGTTTAGTCATTTTTTTATATTTATACTTACAGCAATAATAGATTTTCATTTGATTTCATCGGATGACCCGAGTTGTGATCGAAAGTGATCAATGAGAAGCGGAACACGAACGGGGTACGGGGTAACGAGAGAAGATAATGGGTGGGTAGCTTTGATGGTCCTTCTAGTTGTACAAAGGATTTCTTAGTGGATTTTTCTGTTTTATTTTTCTCNATTTTTCTCCAGTCGGAGAGCAGAATTTGATCCGTATGTCTATCCCTTGAAGAACCAGAAAACGTCTGAATCGAATGCTTTTCAAATTAATAATGTTATTGCTTTTCATCTCAACCAGATATCCAAACTCCAGACTTGGGAGAATGTTTAATGGGTCCATACCAATCGTCCTGGACACAATGAAACAGCATTATTTTATCGATCGAGATGGGGCATTGTTTCGTTTTGTGCTGAATTTCCTGCGTACCGGCAAGGTGCATGTGGATACAAGTTTTAATGAGTTAGATCAATTGCTTCAAGAATCAAATTTTTACGAACTGGACGAGATGAGTGCCATGCTACGGGAACTCCAAGAACGACGAGCAAGTCACTTGACTACCATTGATGGCAACGCACTGGGAAAACGCTTATCTAAGCGATCTCAACTAAACGAATTCAAATCGTCCAACAAACGTGTAATGCGTGACAGTCCGCCCACCTCTAACCACCCGATCGATATCCATCCGGTCTCTGTAACGGCGAGCATTGACAAAGCGGAACTTCGAACACCGGACTCGTCCAGACAACAGTGTTCGTGCTTGTGGCTGGAGATGGATAACATTAGTCCTTACTCCGGATTTGTTCGACTCACCAGACAGACTCAGAAGGACACCCATTCCGTTCTACAAAACTTGCTAGATTATATGCAATCCCATTGCAAATGTACGGACCATTCAGATCATTCGTATTCATCTTCGGAGGAATCTGGTTGTCAGTGGCATGAACTGACTCGTACTGATGTGTTACATCTCTGGCAAATTATCCTATCTCATGAGTACGAATTATGCACAAAAATTCGGCCAGCTCCTGCACAACATGGGGGTCGTGATGTGTACTTATTTTACCGAATGTACAACTGTTGATTTATGATCGAAAATCCCTTACCGTTTGACTTCCACAGATACTACTTCCATCAGTGAATTCCAATCAAAAAATTGAATATCTTATGATTTCTTTATTTGTTCCCTCCTACTATCAGGCATTCAAATGCGAATATTGTTTTATTTCAAATTTCCTTTACAAGGCTTTTTTTTATAAAAAGTGTGCAAGGGACATCTTGCAGTGCTCGAAATTCTATTGTACCTGACATGACCCACAAGCAATGACGACAGGCCCAGAGGAGTTGTGAATGTCATTGATTTTTTACAATGGAAACCGAAATAAAAGATAATGGGGCAGGGGGAGGCACCAAAGGTAAGTCTCTACCGTTTTAGTGAAAAAAATATCACTTAGATGTTGGAAACAATATGGCGAACAAGCTTGTTATCGTAGCTTGGTATTTAGGCATTTACATTTGTGTTCATATATATATATATATATATATATATATATATAAGTTAGACAAGTGATTGGTTCATTGAGGTTAAATGCAAAAGAACAACAATAACCTCTATGAAGTTGAATAGAGGTAAATGGACCAACGGGGGGAAGGGGAACCAAAATCAAGTATGGAAATTTTTTAACGACCTTTTTCACGTGTGACTTATGACGCAATGCTGCGTCATCACGATATGATTTAGGTCCTGGATCGGTTCGTCACGTTGGTTGGGGCGGGTGCCTAGGTAACTGGAGCGCGGCACCCACTTTCTTCTGTTTGCACAGTAGTGGGTTCAGAACTTTGATTGACATTGCTTCTTCCATTGCCAATTGACGTTGCCGAACATACTTTGACTTGCTTTAGGGCACTTTGTAGATGATTTAAAGTGCATTGTTGTCTATCTTATGCCCGGCATCGGTGAGGTGGGTTACAATCGCACCGGTTATTGTTTTCTTACAACCTGTGCTAAGCCAGTCCGGTTTGTGTTCTCTGATCCTTTATCGCATTGTTTGTCCTACACAAATTACCAAACATGTGCAAGTGAAGGAATACCTAATCATGAATGAGGAGAGAATGGACAGCTTGTATCATTAAGGTGTGTACAGACTTGTGGCTGGCTTGTAAACCTCGTTCGTACAGTGGTGGCAGGATAACCTCACATGATTGCTTTTTTTTCAAAGGTATTCTCAGTAGATTACCACTCGAATCTCTATTGGACGAGAGCTGCAAGGAAATTTTTTTCTCTTTGGCCGTGATTACTTTTGGTACTGTGGGATTTGATGTAATGTTCTTCTCGATGAAAAACTCTGGGTATCCAGGAAGGTAGATTTGATGTTTCTTAGTTATCCCCCCCACCAGATTGCTGGAGCAATTAATTCGAGTTCTAAAGGCCAGACATTGATTTAGGTTTCGTTTAAATTTGATTGAGACGAAACTTTAGAAATGAATGTATTGGCCATTGCATGCTGATTTGCGAAAAATTGAACGACATATTTTTTCATTGAGAATAACATCGAGGAGGTGAAACGTATTCTGATCCTTTGTTATAGTCGTAAAACTGATTGACGGCTGAGCTTGGTTAAAATGATCCAATATTATGTTCAGTGAAATGCTTTCGTCGGAAAGGATAAAAATATCGTCGACAGAACGGCAGTAAAGTGGGAGTTGATGAACGATGTCCCGTAGTTTGTTGTTTTGCAGTTTGGCTACGAACATANACGAACATATCTACAAGAAACGGGCCAAGGGGGAAACTCATGAATACACCGTCAGCCTGTCTGTAGATTGTACCATTAAAATCAAATTTTATAATAGAATATTTACTGCTGGAATTCCAATTTTTACGTTTTCCCCATCGATGCACTGCTAGAGATAAGACAGAGATGAGAGAGACATAAGAGAGAGAGAGATAAGACTCAAAGAGCGGCTCATTTGCAAAAGTGATTGCATGTACAGTGAGCTCATTGCTAGGTCTTCAAGGTCCACGTCTCGAATTAGATTGAAAAATTCGAAAGTATCTTCCAGACTATGTTTGCAGATGTTCTTCCTGATCTGTTTCAGGATTTTTACAAACCATCGAGCCATGGAGTGAAAGGGAGAGTTTCGCACCGATCATAATGGCGTTTCTGCTTTGTCAACTTTCGGTAGGCCATATAGTCTAAGGACATGAGTCACAAGTGATTTTATTTATTTGTAGTCAGATTTTGATATGTAATTTTGATTTTTCAATGTTTTGAAACACTTAACCAGTTGTCCTTCTGCTGTAACTGCTTTCCGTTTCTCATCCTTCGGGAATTTGTTGAGGTCTTTTAGAATTATCATCATTTTCTCTACGTAAACCTTATGATCAAGAAGCACCACTACTCCGATTTTGTCAGGTTTCAAAATCATGATTTCCTTATTTTGTTTTAACTTGCTTAGAGCTCTGGCGTGTTTTTGACTGAATAGGCATCCATGCGATACTTTTGTGCGGCGATATTGAAAGCAGGCATCAACGGGGGTATGTTTCAAATCGTCAACTGCTTTCTGGGTTACTGCAGTTGAACTTGTTGTCTGCGAACATAGGTTCTGGAATTGAAATTCTGTAGAAAGCTGATAGTCTCTGGTTGTTGGGTAGCAGAATTTTGTAGCGAGCGATAGAACCTCGAGTAGCGTGTTATCTATACTTAGACTGGGTAGATCGTGAACATATCACTCTGGACTCGGGAGGAACTTTGATCTCAGTTTCTGATCATCTAGTGCATCAGTTAACTTATACCGTTTCTCTTCGACCCTTTTCTTGACGATATTCGAAGAAAATTGTTTGAATCATTCTTGTTCTTCAATGATCAGTAGTTCATAAGTGACCTTGTATTTCACAACGATCTTCCTTAACAGCACGGCACGTGATCTGATGGTATCACTGTCTCTACGGGCATGAGGCTTTAGGCAAACCGCATCTGGTCTGTCAAGAGTGCGTAGAAGCACTTTCCAGGAGTTTTTCTGATATTCGTTCTGTTCTTTGCATTTCCGGAGAAACTTCCAGAATTGACCTTGGTCACCCTTCCCTTTTTTGTCCATTTGCCCCTATTGAACTTCACAGATATTGTTGTTCTTTCCCACTTAACCTCAATGAACCAATCATATTTATTTCTAACTTATATATAAACACACAACTCTTATTGTCTGAAGACGAAGTTACGAAAACAAGCTTGTTCGCCATATTGTTAGTCGTTTAAAACAAGGCTCAATCAATTTTCAAAGATTTAATCAAAGTAAAATTGTGCCTGTCACATGCAGCATACGGGGTGGGCGAAATCCAGTCAATTGACTTTTTGTATATCTGCACCAAAATTTGAGGTTTTGATCCTCTGGAATGCTACGAATGGGATATTCATTTGTCTCTAAAAGATTTATCGCTGATTCGCTTAATACACCGAATGCTTCCCCCAACCATGGAGTAGCACCCGCAGCGGTCAGTGTGGCTCTACTCGGTTATTGGTGGACTGGAGCATTGTGGAAAAGAAATACTGTTTCAATATCCGGTTGCTCAGTTACCATAAGATCTGCTAAAACCCATAGTATTCATCTTAAAGTGGTAGCGATAAGGTAGTAAATTGATCGCTAAACAGCATGAAATAACATTTAGGTTTGTACCACTGTCTAATGGCGATGTCTTGATACTCGGTTTGCTGTTTCGTCCGCAAAAGCCAGTTTGTTACTGATTACATCAACACAAAATTACAAAGGACGCACCTACGAACGCCACGTACTAAGCTCGCTTCTCCCTAAAACAATCTGTATTTCTCTCAACCGGTTGAAGACAAGGTGTACGCAGTGTCATCATAGGTGATTGATGGAACATAAACTAATGTGCAGATTAAGGTATACTACTTCTCTCTTTTATTATATTTTACTCCAAATGATCGCATGATTTTCCTCTAGCTATGACTACAGTTTCCCAGTGAATAAATGGGTGTGTTTACGTTTTGCTAATCCCAATTTTAGGCTTGATTTTCGGTCCTTTTCTATGACTACAGATGTTAGTATTACTTACCTGGTGATGGGTAAGTATTTCAGATTGTCTCATGGACAAGTTTAATACGTATTTCATGACTGATCATTCTACGAAATACAGTGTTCATTGATTCACTTAACTCGGTATCCTCTACGAATAATCTCTATAAAAGATGGTTTTTAAAAATTTCGATAGTGACTTGGAGAATGATGACGCATCGAAGGTAGAGCTGTTTTTTTAAATCAGCTACCAGGTCACTTGATTGAGTCATGTGACCTTGTGCAATATAGATGTGCTGAAAAGACGTGTTTGGCGTCCCTTGGGCAGTGGTCGATAAACGGAATCTTTTAATCATGGTGATACAGTGAACCCAGTATATCTCGACTTTTCCAAGGTATCATGTGAATCACAAAATAATTCTGAGGATAATTCAGTATTATGGAATTCGGGGCCTTATAACTAGATTGGATAGAAGCATTTGTTTGACAGCGTACCAAGGCGTGGTGACTTGAGACCGACAGTGTAACATACTCGAGAGTTGTCACCGTCTTTGGTCTGCCTGTTCCGCATGTGTACTTTCACATGGTTGCAGGCATTGGTTGCTTGGAACATTCGCTCGTCTGTCCTTCCCCTTTATAGCATAGAATCCGCCAGTATCTTCGATATCCTAAGAACGCTTCTTCAGCTAGGTCTTTCATCTTTGTTTAAGTCAATGTCACCTCCAGTGAAGTAACTCCACTTTAAACGGTGNCTTGCTAAGTATTTTCGCTTTCAGATACTCTCGAGCGTAGTCAGGATAAACTCCGGTACTTTAAGGGAACAATATACTTTCCCTTGACTAACCGATTGTTCTTCCTAATTCATACCGGGTGATCGAGAAGCATGGGAGAATTAGAGACCGGATCGCTATCGCAGGTCGTGAGATTGTACCCCCATCTCTAAACTGGGGAGCCCGTTCCGTTTTTGTGGTTATTAGTAAATTTTTACGAACTTTCGTTTTCAATAACCACCCGTGTTATTTTTCTCGATTTATATATTTTTTTGCACTA